TTCAATAATTTTTAACTATATTAATTTTTAGTTATAAAACTTATTTAATTTGCAGTAATTAATATAAATCACAATACTGATCACTAGTCTATAAACCTATTAAAGGTTAAAGTGCTGTTAAAATTATATGGTCCCAGCTTGTTCAAGTTCTGGGTACTGCTTTTAAAATTGGGAGGTATAGTTGAACGCTAAAATTTAATATAAAAATTATAGTTTATGTCTTTGCAAAAAATATGTATTATTTAGAAAAGACTATTTCTCATTGGGTGGTACAATTTTTTTCACTTAAAATGATGATATACCATTTTTTTGACTGATTGTTCGGTTTACGGTTTAGTACCTTTTTCATGAAAAAAATATGACACTGAAGTTAGCAGACGTCTAAAAATTTTTGATTTTTTTTATTAATTAAATTATAACTAAAAAAATATTTCTAACAAATTGCACTTATAGTTTTTCAAGTTTTTTACATGTGAAATTTTTTTTTTAATTGTTTAATTGAAATTTTTTCAATAAAAAATTTCTAAAAATTTTGAAATGTCGGCTAACTTTATTTATGAAAATTAAATTAGCCGACATCTAAAAATTTTTAGAATTTTTTTTATTGAAAAAACAATTACAAAAAAATAAAAAAAAAATTTTCACTTGTCAAAAACTTTAATAAAAACTGCAAGTGCAATTTTTTAAAAATATTTTATTCTTCTAATTTAATTTAAAAAATAAATCAAAAAATTAAAAATGTCGGCTAACTTTATTATTATGTTTATTTTCATGAAAAAAGTAGCATCTATCGGTTATTCTCGACATGTCAACTTTAAAGTTAACAAAAATGTAATTGTTTTGATTTATAATTAAAAAAACTTACAAAAATCAATTACTGTATCATTGAATAATTATAACATGCGCATATTACTCATAATATATACACAGATTTTGTATTACAACATTTCTAAAAGTCTGTTCAACTACTGGTCCCATTTTTAGAAGTGTTCAAGTACTGGGTAATTTACCTTAATAATGAAAAGAAAAATAGTATAAGTAGAATGTACTTAAAAAGAGAGGAGTAAAAAATTTTGATTTTGATTGACAGACAGTTTGAGAAAATTTCGGATAAAAAAAATATCATTAAAAGAGGATAATGATGAAGTAGAAGAAGAAAAATAAATTGCATGCTACAAGAGATAAAAAATGAAAATGAAAATAAAGGCTACTTACTGACAAATGAAACTTGAAGGATCATTAGATGCAAAGAAGAAGAAAATAAGATTGACAAGAAAATTGAAGGAAATAAAAAGTAAGTGTAAAATATGTGTAGGAAGAGGAAGAAAAAAGTAAAGTATAAATACAGAAAGAACTTATGGTGTCTATGGTCTAAGAGTGCAAAAGAAGGGATTAAACCCCCACTATTAAAATGTAGTCTGAGGATTAAAGAGAGGCACACGAAAGCTAGCTACATCGGGGGCGTTATTCGACATCAACTCTCAGTCTAATTCGAGACATGCACTTGTTTTAAAGTTCTAACTATTTCAGAGCAATTATTTATTTTCATTATTTATATAATAAAGTTTTTTTTCCTCTCTGTGAGTGCTTAAGTGAGTTTTAGAACATGAATTCGCTAGTATGTTTTTTTTTTTTTATTTATTTATCTAATTTGTTTATTTGTTTTTTGTTTAGAGAAATAATTACAATTATTACTTTGAGGAAATGCCAAGAAGGAAGTGAAGGATATAAATGTAATAAGAAATACAATCTTGCAATAGTGCCGACTATTTGCAAATTCTCAAAGTTATTTAATTGAAAGATCAGGAAACGACATCTTATAATTATAATAAAAACATAAAAGTTATATTAACAGTATACGCCATTCAATTACTTTACTTATCTTTACGAGAGGAGGCTGATCAGCTTGTTAGAAGAGGAAATGATCAGCGTCTAATTTCCGTGTAAGCTTCATTGAAACAGAAAAGGATTGATCTACTTTCGAGATTTATTGATGCAAAGAAGAAATTTATAAAAGCTGATATTAAAGATGTTTATTATTTAGTTTTTACAATGAATAAACGCAAGGTAATTTTATTTATTTAATCACTTAAATAAATAATTAACTTAAATAAATAGTTAAATTAATAATTAACTTGTTAATACTTTTTTTTTTGTTTTTTATAGAAATAACAAATAATCGTCAATCATTAGATGTTATTGGAGTTTGTTTTCATCAAATTACACTTGGATTTGAAGCTACAATCAATGAAGGTAAATATCTATTTCTTCTTTAAAATTATAAACGTAAAAATTTCAATATTTAATGAAAATTAAGTTAGCCGATATTTAAAAATTAAAAAAATTTTTTTTTATAGAAAAAATGATTACAAAAAAATAAAGAAAAAAAATTCACTTGTTGAAAACTTCAAAAACTATAAGTGCAATTTTTTAAAAATATTTTTTTAGTTTTAATTTAATAAATTAAGCAAAATAAAAAAATCAAAAGTGTCGGCTAACTTTAATGATATCAATATTTATGAAAAATTCAATCGGTACATTTGAAATGTTTTTAATACTGTTAAAAAATACGCGCGAAGCCAGTAAATTGGCTGACTAATCGTGACATTTTAATTCGTTTCTACTTAAGCCTCTTGAGTAATTTTATTTACATTGCATTCATCTTATTATTTATAATCAATGTCCAATCATCAAAAAATTTATTAAAAATACAAACTAAATATAAAATAACATTGAATTTTCCTTTTTGCGGTGAATATTAATTTAATGAGCTAGTTCCGGATAAATATTGTACAGATAAATCTGACTTGATTATTAAAATAGTTATTAACATATTATTATTGAATAAATTAAAAATTTTAATAATATAATAATTAAACTAAAAAAAAACTAGACAGTATTTTTCATAGTCTTCTATCTTTAATTGCTTTGGCTTATTAAATTAGAATAATTATTGCAAGACAACAATTAAACATGAAATATAATAATGCAGGTGATTACATGCAAATTCAAAGTTTTAACACGTTATATAAAATGTGCAAACCATAACACATTATAGCGGGATTATCTCAGTTGATTTATTTATAACCGTCAATCACTGGATAACCATAGATAAATAGATATAGGGCCACGTATTTCACCTTACATACTCCGTAATTATTCCCTGTATCAAAGAATCATGAACTTGAACGGTAATAAAAACTACCGTTAAAATTTTAGTGATGATTTAGCTAAAATTTGTTTTATTTTTTATTGTCATTTTTTTTAATAAATCTCAAAAGTTAGCTTCATACTTTTAGAATTTAATTATCCGGTTATTTCATTTTATAGTTCTACTATCAAAGTATCAGTAGTTACCTTAAGGATTTATATGACATTTAGGGATAATTATAACGCGTTAGAAATAAAAATAATAATAAATGCTGTTTCATCTAATAGTCTTAAATATGGGAAAATTTTAGTAACAATAACTGCTCTAAATACTTAACCACCACACGCAGTAATTACGGTGTTAGTATCTCGGCGGTTTTAGAGAAGACAAGACTACAAAAAAAAAAAAACGTGCGTATTCCTTTTATGATAGTATTCGATATAGTTTACGATATTTACGAACTAGGTTAAATTTTATTGCTAAAAGCATTAAATAAAACTGATAAAATAGAAAATATATATAAGATAAAACAAAATGCAACCTTAATAAATAATACTAAAGTTAGCCGACATTTTCAATTTTTTAATTATTAAATAAAAACTAAAAAATATTTTTAAAAAATTGCACTGATAGTTTTTCAAGTTTTTTACAAGTGAAATTTTTTATTTTCTTCTTTTTTTAATAATTATTCAATAAAAAAATTTCTGAAAGTTTTTAGATGTCGGCTAACTTAATTTTCATCCTTAATAATAGGTGCTGATAATGAAAATAATAATAATAATAGCGCAGTGTTACAAAATCAGTGAGTAATAATAAGAAATAGTTATGGTTAATAAGTGTTATTATTTGAAGTATTCTTTTTTTTTTTTTATTTAAATTTTATTTATGAGAGCATTGAGGATGCGTTAAATGTTAGATTTTACTTAGAAATGCGCTGATTTATACGGTGAGATAAGCTGCTTGAATTATGCTATTTAAATGTATCCCAGAGAAAACATAGATGTTTGTAAATACACCTGTGTGCAGTAATCGTGTTGATCTAATAAATTTAACATAATTTAGTCATTTACTTTTAAATTATTTATTTTATTGTTTTAATTATGAATAATACTTTCTTTTTCATTTACTCTTATTATTGCTATTCTTCAATCAATATAAACAATTTATTATTATTATTATTATTTCTATTAAATTTTATTTGATTTTTAATTTTAAATTAATGAAAGAAGAAACATGATGATTAATTATTGTAATATATAATTTAAATATAAAGGTAGTTAATGATAATTTGAAACGTGACGAATAATCAAATTAATTCAGACTCGTGTTGATGCGTTATTAATCCACCAGTACCCCATGAAGATAAAACACGGGAAGTATCATACATTATATTATGTGCTGAGGGAGTTCCGCTATGTCCCACATGTGGATTCACGACTATATATAAGATGTAAAGATTGGATTAAAGGATTTTAAAAGCAAAACAAATAACAATTACAATAAATAAAAATAAACAATTACGTGATAAGGATCTATTTGATGGCTTGTTAGTATCAAGTTCATAATCTTCACTATTATTTTTTTCTCCTCTTTATGTGCTACTTTTTTTTTTTTTTTACATTTAATGCTCGTCGTCTTATTTTTTAACCGTGCTCATTGTGGGCAGTAGAAAATGCGGTTGATCGTGAGGAATAACTCCCCCGGATTCTGTTACGGTAGACAATTTATACGAGAGAATAGTCTGGATTCATGGAAGAGATTGAGAGATTCTTGAGATTTGCTTTTTTTGAATAAAATTTGTTTTAATGCTTTCGAAGAAAACATTTCTTTTATTATCATTTCATTTCTCATGAAAGAAAATCGAGGTTATTGATAATACTATTATTTATTTAGTAAATTTATAAAAAGATTTTTTTGAGAATTATTTGCTATAAAAAATATTTTGTATTAAAAAATTCAAAATTTATTTTGATTTTATAATTTTTTTAATTTCGCGTCAAATGTTTATTTAAAGTTTGAGTATTTTTCATTTCACTCACTAGTGAAAATATCCCACTCTATCTTAAAATACTTCTTCTTAGTCATGTGAAGTAATGAAGATATCAATAAAATAAATAAAAATATCCATAACACGCAGCTGAGATTCGATAATTATGTTAATACTAATAATCTAGATCGCGATCACTTTAAATTTTTCTAACGGTATTAAATACTTCACCCACGTGCTTATATATCTTCTTTAACTTATCAAAATTTCGTTAAAAAAAACCAATAACTTCCCGATTTTTGAAAATTTTTAATTTTCTTGGCGGGAAGTTAAAAAAAAATCAACTTTAAAAAATCTGTTAACTTACACGGAAAGAACAAGATGACATTGGATATCATCCCAGATTATACTCATTGTAATCTGGATTATACTAGTTACTATCTGAAATTTTTTTTCACTCAGTATAATTTGGGATGATATCCAGTGTAATTTCGTTCTGTCTATGTAGAGTCCTAATTTTTCAGTAAAAATAAAAATTGCCGTTCCGGTAAGAAAATTTTTGTTGCTACTTGCCAGATAACAAGAATGTAAAAGCCCATAGCAAATAAAATTTATAATGTAATAATGGTTTGACGGTTTTAATTTGCATATATGTGTACTGATTTATGGGTTACAAAACACCAGTTGAAGCTTCTCCGTTCTCCAGGATAAGATATAAATAATTGAAAGCAGGAATACAAGTAAAGTCAAGGTTGCCTCCGAGCTCCAGCTCGGAGCCGTTTCTTGTACGTCATTGCGTCGGTTATCTGACAGATTGTTCTCAGTGTTTATTATCTAGTGACTGGGAAGCTACACACAGAATTACATGTATGTGATAGCTTAATATGTTGAGTTACCGGGATTAAGCTGATCGGGATTTTAGTAGTTAGCATATAATAAGTTGACGAAGGTTATTCAACCCGTCCGTTGGTTGTTCTTGCTTGTAGGTACACACGTATATACACTGGCCCCTTGGAATAACGGTTTGGGGAGAACTCGGACCTCTCCTTTCTGGTCAGGAGAGGTGCGTGCTAAGAAGGTACACGCTGGACATTCGGTCAGCCGTGCACAGTCAGTCGAAACATTGTCCTCAGCATTGTTTCAACAAGTTGTTATCACGCGTGTGCGCGTCTTTATTTTTATAACATTTTATAACTCAATCGTTTCCTTTTCAGCGTAGCTTTTCTGTTTTTTACCCCGTCATTTATTTTAATCGGTGTTTATTTCTCAGGTAGAGGTATTCCTCAGTAGAGGTAGGAGCCAAGTCGTCAATTATTGTAAGTTTTTTTATGTTATTTTTTTTTTTTTTAGTCTCCTTTTAAAATAAATTAACGTAATTAAAGCTTAAGGATCTAGAGCAGAGCTTCTTATGCATCGCGAAACACGTATACTAATTTTAAATGGGTTTTAATGACATTAACTATCGGTTTTTTTGTTTGAAGTCAATTTTTAATTTCAAGATTTAATATTTTGTAGCAACGCGATGGTATTTATCAAGCGTACTATTATTCATCTTAAAATCCCTTTTTATTGCATTAAAATTAACGCGTTGCATTATATTGAATAAAATATAAGCCAGTGACTGCGATAATGCTTGAATCACCCGGGCGGCTCTAAATAGTTGAGTCTCACGATCTACAACTATTATACTTATTATTACATTAAATTTATGTTATTGTACTACACCTACTATAATAGGTGTAGTACAATGTTTTACTTACACCCGATTACAAGTCTTTAATTTTAAATTCGTTATATTTATTACTATTCGAAGAAGGCAAATCTGTTCCGCTAAAATGTTTGCCGTACCGGAAAACTCAACTCCATCTGCGTATTATGATTTTACCATGATTTAATCTTATATGATTTGAATTCTTTATTTTAAGTTTCTATTTCTTTGTTTAATTTCACCGTTTACATTTATTTATCACATAAGTATAAATATATTTTATACTGTTATGTTGACATATTTTATTTATTATTAGTTTATTAATAGTGGTGGATGTATATTAAAAATGAGTATCAAAGATATCGTGAAAGAATTAAGGCGTGACGGCGAGACGACACATGCAAAACGGAGCATCGCAACTCAGGAACGCCAGTACCGTTATCAGACATTTATGTATTAAAAAAATATCAATAAAAAAAAAAATAAATTACGGTAGAAAATTATTAAGAGTTTATAAATATTTTTATATTTAACTTAGATTGATTAATTATCTAACCGCGATTAATTTAAAAAAATCGGCTGCCCAATTTTAAAACACTCTGCAGTAACTGCAAAATTTTTATACCTAATTTTTTTTAATATTGTTGCATTTTTTATAACTTTTAAACCTTAGTTTCAAGAATTTTTTCTTAAAAATATTTAGGATTCAAGTATTTTCTATTCATAAATCAAATTTTTCATCAATTTGGCAGGCAAACTTTTTTTTAATAAGAAAAATTAAAAAAAATTTTTAAATGTTAGTTACTGTGTTTTAAAATTGGGCAGCCGAAATATGCAGATTATTTATTATAAAATTTTATTTTAGATATTTTGGTAACAATTCTTTATTTTTAAAGAATTTAATTCTAACTAAAATAACTTCACTATTAAAAAATTTTAAAAAAAAATTTCCTTAATTTTTTATGTATTTTTGATACATTACATAATTTAAATTTAAAGAAGCCAGAGATGATAAAAACCGGCATTAATATCTTATACCTGAGTTAATGTATCTTTTTCAATTTTGTCTTTATACTTTAAGGTACATCACTGATTTTTTAAAATTTAAATTTTTTATGTGAAAAAATTTTATTTCCTCAAATTTTTTTATAAATAATTCTTTTTAATTTTCAATTATTAATATTAACTATTTTAACTCAGCTTTTATCGAAGTTAAAGTTTAATCATTTCCGCTTAAAATTACTCTTATTTATATTCGTTCGATATTTCACATGAACATGACAGCTATTATTATATGACTTATTTATATAAAATTCAAATTAGATTTCCATTTAATAGATAAGCTGACTTATTTTTGTTTCAGTATAAATGAATAAAAAAGTAAAAAAAAAAAGATTTTTTTTTAAACGGCAGCTTCGTATATCGAATATAAAACACTATTAAATTTATAGTTATTTGATATTTTACACCGCAAGCTATAACAGATTCATATCATGAATTGACAGTGTTATGAAGCCATTTTTGAAATAAATTCTTTCTATATTCACATCTATATTTTACTGTACGTTGTTTTCGACGTAACAACTCTCGCAATGTGCTTTTTCGCAGTACACAATAATTTTTTATACTCTTACTCTTCATAAATGTACCTTTTATCCATTATGTAATTTCGTTGCTTAAATTTCGTCAAATGAATTCTGTTAAGACATCGCTTGAAAAAAAAAAATTATTTCAAGCACTTTTTATTTTTCCCACGTACAAGTCGTTAGCAAAAATTAATTTCATAAAGTACTTGAAACGTTTTCATACAATCAAAATTATCACGTTTTTATTGTGACAATTATGGACATTGTTTGTAATTTTACCATTAAAATTATGCAATTATTTTAGTTACGTTTTATCATAAAAAAAATTTCTACTGTCTATTAAAAGTTGTTTATGTTAGACATTATCTCGATAGTTTTTCTGGAAATTTTCTGTAAAAAAAAGTCACAAGCCATATATCATAAGTGGATCTATGCATAAAAACATACTTTAATTTACTAACTGATTTACTTTTTTAATTTCAGTGTGAAAATGCAAGTAGCGACGAGCGTGTTACTCTGGGCATTGTTCTCAATAGCCCAGATCGATGCAAGACCTCCAGAAATAGGTAAATATTATTTTTCATTTATTTCAGATGTTACGAATTAATTTTTTAGTAGCCATTCGATCAATAATAATTTATAATTTATCTTGAATAAGATAAAAATCTTGTGTAATAAATGAAAATTGATACGAATTTTATATATTTTCCTAAGAAGAAATTTTAAAAAATATTAGATTTTAAATATTAATTTAAAAAATTTTTTTAATTATTATAATTCTAAATTTAAATAACTAAAAATAGACATATTTATATCAAAATTTTTTTTTTAAATTAAACCACCATAAAAAAGAATTTTTCAACTAAAATGTTTATAAGAGCTCGATTAAAATATTTTTATATTAAAAAATAAAACCAACCATACATAATTATCATATATTAATAAATTTATATACGTGTTTAAAATAAATTTTTATCAATTTAATTTCAATCATAAATTGACTAGAGGGTAAAGATTTAAAAATATAATGTTATAACTAGGTATAATTAAATCACATACTATCAGAATTTAAATTATTAAAAATTAACATTATAAATTTCCAATAAAAACTGATGATAATACTTGTAGCAAAAATAAAAGTACTTTAAAAATAATATATCTTCGTACTTGTCATATATTATCCAATGATTATGCAAAACATGAAGCAAGTTAACAATCACATACAATAAATTTCTTCCCTCATATTATAAATAGCCTCTATAATTTTAATTTACTCAATAACTTAAAACACTATAAAAATACCAATCAACTCACCATTATAATTTAAGAGTATTTAATTATAAATTATTGTAATTATTAACAAAAGAAAATAAGAAAATACTAACTTAAAATTACCGTTCGATAACGATAATCAAATTGCAGGTTCGTCGGAAGTGTCTCGAACGGACGTGACGAAACAGCAAGTCGGTGATGCATTGCAGGCTACAAAACTTCAAGACGTTGGAAGCAGCAGGTATAGGTCGTCGGGTCGTACACGAAACATTTATGAACCTAATAATAATAATAATAATTATTATTATAAAATATTAAACCAGAGTAATTTCACACCGGGGATTATAAATAATATTAAAACTAAATTATCTCGTCGCTCTCGTTTGCCAACCAATTGGATTAATTTTAATGCACTTACCTCAACGGCGGTACCATTACTCCAGGCTAAAGAAATTCCTTTAAAAGACACTCGAATCAGAAATGAAAGTCGTCTTCTTCATGCAATCGCTCTAGATCCCTCGAATTCACTCAGCCTAGACAAGCTAAAGACAAAAGTCAAAAATACTATTGTAAATTCGACCAAGTTTTCTTCTTCTTCTTCATTTTCAAAATCACCATCTAAAAATAATGAATATATTTTTGTTAAACCGAACATGTCTTTTACTGTAGCGAGCTCGACGAAAAAAAAACCACCAAAGATTAATACGACAAATATTGGTATAAAAACAAACAAAACAATTGTCAGTGGGATTAAAAAATATCCGGTAATTAAAAATCCCGTAATATCAACAGTTTATTTAAAAAACTGGCCTAACGACCCTCTTCGTAATGAGCAAGATTTGTTAAATTATCAAAAATACACATCACCTTATCCTACTTATTCTAATATCGAAAATAATCCTGTAAAAAATGTCAATCCTAAACTGGACAAACCCGTTTTATCGAATAAAGATAAACCTTCCTTAGCCATAAATTCATGGTCACCTTCATCATCATCATCTTCATCAAATTTAACACATTACGAAGACTCGTTGTTACAGCCAAGTGTCCAAGAGATAATAAAATGGCTTCAAATTCCCCCATTTTCAAATCATCCATACATCGCTACTAATTTAGCGACTACCGGCGCGGTATCCAACGTATTTACACCCAGTGTAACATCAACACAACCCGTATTCTACACAAATACCCAGCCTCCGAGTGTTGATGAGAGTGCCAGTGATTTTCAATTGTCTCAAAGTTTGGACGCTTTGTCAAATAATCCAAATCTTGGAATTGCTCTGGATCCATTGGAAATTTTTGACTCACAAGAATCAATTGAAGCTGTTAAAAATAAAACAGAAACATCAATAATAACTCTAACTGATGCTCCGAGTTCAACCGATTTTCCAACAGAACCAACAGTTATTCAGCGGCCAGTCTTCAGGCCGGTTTCTGAAATAACTCAAAATACTGTTGTCCACATCATAAATCCTTTGTCAAAAAAACGAAACGTAACTGTTAGCGAGGGTAAGGTACCTTTTAAAGATGAGTTGAATTCACCACCAAATGTCCATATTACCTTTGCTTCTGAAAATGATACCAAGTCTGCAACAAATTTAAAAGACACATCAGACAATTTGTGTCCAACGATAACTATCAATTCAATAACAAAAGTTAACAATACTATTGAAAGCAAGCAAGGTTGTACAGATCTTAATATAATAATTAACTCACAATTGCTCAGTACCCACAATTTCAATGGCATTTTAGGCGGCGATGGATCAGGCATTGATAAACACGTAAATGGTGAAGCTGCTGTTACTTCAACAGATTCTAGCTCGACATTGGCGTCAGAATATCCTAGTTCCGTGCAGGCAGATCCAGATCGTAATGATTTGTACGACGCGGCAGTTGTTGATGATGAATCTGAATCTGAAGGAGCCTATGATGTCAATCAGGAGTCGAATTATTTGATAGGAGATGATGAAGATGATCCCAGTGAGGCGGTATTTTCGGACGGTGTTCAAAATGATTTTGCAGATGCTGGTCCACCGGAAACTGCCCAAGTTATTTCAGGAGGTTCAGAAGCAGTTGGTAACTCTAATGGTGGGTTGGCTGGTTCTGCTCTCAGCCGACCAAGTCGTCCTGGGCTTCCCAATATCGGGAATCAGTTGTCTAATTTAGTTTCTGGTAGCAATTCTGGAGGTAGTAATGGCAATGGCGGCGGTAGTGGAGATTCTACTTCTCTGGCGGCTCTAGAAGAAGATGATGATGATGATGATGACGACTTTGATTTCAGTACTTCGAGTGTTCTTGAGGGTATTACTAATGTATTTACTTACTTAACTGTTCTTAATCCTCTAAATTACGGAATCTTTAGCCTGGCAGCTGCTCCATTTGCCGCGCTTGCTGCGGGAATCGTTGGGGTTTCCGCGATTTTCTTTCCTTGGGCTTTTGCAAGTGGACTTAATTTTGGAAGAGCTGCGGATACAGTTACGATATTATTTAGACCGAGTTTTGAAGATTTTGTTAAACAATCGATAAGTCGTTATCAAAATGTTTCTGAGTGGAAAAGCAAACGAAAGAAGCGAAGGAGATGAATTTATTAATATTATTATACTTTTTTTTTACTTATTATTTTTTAATTAATTTATGTATATTTATTTATTTATTTATGATAAATATTTATTTTGACGAAAAAGTTATTTAGCTGACAAATTTATTGTAGGAATTTTATTATTAATATTTTATTTATTCATTAATTTTATTGTAGTTTTCAACAAATTAAATTTGAAATATTATTTTTCAATAAATTATTGAAATTAGTTTATTTTAAATTCTAAAAAAAATTTTCAAATAAAAAATTATACATTAAAACATTTATGGAAAAAATTATAATGCTATAACTTCAAGTTTCGATTCAATTTTATGAAAACAAAATTTATATATATTGTAAAGAATATGGGATAAAAATTTAGTGGGTCTTTAGTTTTTTTTCCTTTTTTTTTTTTTTTTATAAAATTGAATTGAGATTAATGAGACAAATAATGTAATTATTAATATGAAAATTTACACCAGAAATTTTCTTAAATTAATCATTAAAAAAATTTGTATCAGTCAATATTATTCAAGCATTAAATTTTTTCCATATAATTATTCAAAATTAAATTAACTAAAAATTCTAAAATTCCTACAAAAAATAAAAAAATTATTCCTATAATTAATAGTTATTTAAATAGTATTATTAATAGATTAGTTTTCTATTCTTTTAAAAATAAGCGATTGTACTTAAGAAAACTTTAAATAATAACAAATTAGGGCATTAACGCATGAAATTGTATTACTAATAAATTACAATAAAAATAAATAATAATTGTAAGAATAACTGTGATTTATTGTCATATTTACACTTAAAGTAGACAATAATAAAAAAAAATCCGCATTAAATTGGTAAGTATCCATTCAAAAATAAATCGATCCAATCCTTGACATCCCAAAATTTAAATACTATTATTTTAATAAAAATAAATGTAACAAAAATAAAACATTATGTTTGCAGGAATGAGGCTTCTGGTACTGGCGTCCGAGATTTTAAAGGCTACCAGTACATCGATCAGTCTTTAAAAACCGTAGCGACGCAATTGTTAAACGTATCTAACCCCGAAGACTTATCAACCGAGCCAGACAAGTCAAAATTGCCAAAAATTGAATCAAAGTTGAATTTATTGATACGAAAACCTGACAATAATGTCAAAGAAACTCCTTCAGGCCTGGAAATTTTTGGCAGCCTGAAGAAATCATCAGAAATTAACTTAGAGCCGCACAGTTTCGGACGGCCGGTCAATTCAAAATTTGGTTTCTTCCAATCAAGTCACCCCGGGCAAGCGATGGCTATCACTGAAGAAGAACTGGAACGAGAACTAGCAACAGCACGTACAACCACGCACAAGACACCAGTAACTACTGTCGGCGGAATATCAACTTGGATACGTTTGGACCCTCCAAGCTCAACATTAAAAACTCAAATTTCTTCTGACAAGAAAAATCCCCAGAAAGTTACCGAGACAAAGCCTTCATCAACAACCAGTTCCGCGAAACCTTCCTCAACGACAATAAGAGTCGAGACAAGTGTGAAGACAACAGTAGCTACTGAAAAACCTCAAATTTCACCAGTTGCTAGCGCTTTGAAGCAAACAACGGTGGTGAACAATCACATGGAAAAAGTAGCGATCATCGATTTAAGCACAACTCCACGGACAGAAACAACTGAAAGTATTAAATACAAAACTACTGCGGTTTCAAGTACGACTGAAGATAATGATAATGAAGAAATTACAAAAACGACAACCAAAAAGGTAAAAGGTAATAATTCAACGACCCCTAAGTCAACGACCATCATTACAAAAACTACGGCTATGAAAGTTTCAAGGCCGAATCCATTGAATCGATCAACCAAGCCCCCCACCATCAGAAAGCCATCGATTAAATCGAATAACACGAAGACAACTGTCAATGCAACGCCAAAAATTGAAAAGGTTACTTTCAGACCCGTTCAAATGATTACCAACAAAAATTCTCAAGCTAAGCCATCATTTGTCAGTAAGCTTCAAGCAACACTTCACACCAATTCTGATGCAAGCTTGTCAGTTGCTTCTTCGAACGATAAAGAAGAAATAAACGCCACTGACGTCAAGGTTAAGACAAAGCCTACAAAAACAAATGTTCTAAAAGTACACTTGAAGAAACCAGTTGACAGTCCAACTACCATTGAAATTGAACCTATCAAAGTAAACGCTCCAGTTCTAACAATCGAGAAAGTTAATGACAAAAAAGACTACCTTCAAAGCGACGAGTTAGTTAAATTCAAAGATCCAATTGATGTCAAGTTTGATTTCAATCCTGAGTTGACTAAAATTGTCGAGACCTCTACCAGAGTATCGTCTTCTTCGTCAGTATCTTCTGCTTCTTCATCATCATCATCATCATCATCATCATCTTCCTCGACATCAGTATCATCAACGACGAAACGACCTAAGAATAAAAGAAAGAAGAATAAACTTCGCCGGCGCAAGCCTTCGACCACATTAGCTCCTTCTACATCATTATCTCCAAGTCCAGCTGACAATAATGTTGAAAATATTATTAATGAATCTACTGACATATCAATTCAAGAGTCTAAAATTGTGCCTGAGTCGAAGGTTACTAATAACAATAACAACAATACCAAGAGTAATAACAAGAAGAAACAAGTCGCAAAACCAATAGGTACTCAGATTTATCAATTTTTGAGCAGAGAAGTGATGCCCAGTGTTGGAGTAATGTCCTTAGTGGGTCTTGGTCTTGGATTGGCTTCTTACTTTCTTTATCCGTTTGGAGGAACTATCGCTCGAAGAAATTACGAGGTCGAACCTAATTATAAGTACAATGTCAATGAATATGGAGGCAATTACGGTCAAAGCGAAGAAGAAGTTTTATCTAAAGTGTTTCTTGGAATGAATAATAATAATAATAATAATAATAATCATAATAATTATCATCATAAAAATAGTAAGTACAATGTGGGAGGTAATAAGAATGTTGATAAAAATTATTACAGATATCAAGCTTACGACGGTGCTTACACAGATTCTTACACAACAAGAAGAAATACTGTCGCTGAATCACGTTTTCCAACTTCTGCGGTACCTGTTTACAGACCTGATCCCCCGTTTTATGATAATCATCATAATCAAGATAATGAATTCAAGTATCCGGACTTACCTACGACACCAAATTACTATGAAAGACAGACAAAACCGCAGTTTATCAATAGTCAGGCTAGTGGAGATCGTAAATTTGTTGTTGGTAACATCCCTAAAGAGTATCCGTATGATAATCAACGACTCCCGGTGATATCGACGACAACTACAACGACTACGGAAAGTATCCAACAAACGAATTTTGAGAAAGAAATTGCGGAAAAATTGAATTTCGTTAAAAACCCCGTCGCTGATAATTTTGGTAGTGATAGTCATGCCGGAATTGCCAAAGCGTCGGCTTTAAAGGCAGACGCTCTTCAGTATGACGATATTGAGATCACTCCTACAGCAGTGGCCGTTGAACATGGTCCAAGGGCGATAAAATTGGAAAAATTAATAACCAGGCAGAAAAGAGAATCTGTTATTCAGCAAATTCCTGCGAAAAGTGAAATTGAAAAGGCAGAAGAAGACGATTTGAGCAACGAAATTTTAGATATTATTGACTCGGCTGTCACTGAAAAACCGATCAAGTATATGGAAAATGAAGTTGGTGAGAAGGAAGAAGTAACAGAATCTGATGATAAGAATTTGGATGATGGATTGATCAAAAATTCTGGAGATAAAATTGAAGATACGAAATTAGAAGAAGTTGATGTTAAAAATGAAACTAAAAATCTTAAAAATTCGACTTTGAGTAATGAGTATTTACCTGTGTTGAATGTTACTGATGAAACAGTTAAATTTAATTCAACGGCTGAATCTAATGAAAATGATTTCAATGGCACGTTATCTGACAGTGTTCCAACGAAGCCAGTATTAGAAAAATTCAACTTTTTTAACTTTGTTAAAACTGTCGCCGAAGTTAAATTAAGAGTTGGATTGTCAATTTTGAAACATGCGGGTGAAAATTTTGCAAAGTATATTGGTAATATTCAGAAACGGTTAAATGGGGATCAATAACTTTGTTAGGATTTTATACTTGTTTAAGGAAAAATAATTTTTTTAACTTTTTAACGAATCAATCCTTATTTTTTAGGGTACATTGAATTTTTTATTTGTTTGATATAATTTAAATGATTGTTTAAAAAAATGAATTCAAAATATTTATATAAAAGGTGTATCTAAAAGATGAAGGATATTTAATTGAAATTGTTAAAAAGTTAAATGACTGATTAACCACATTCACAAATTTTAAAACTGTGTGTTGCACGATTTGCCAGTTTTTTAATTTTATGTATCATAGATTTTTCATTTTTTACCATTATAAATTATTAAATGTTTTTATATGCATTGGATTGTTTTTTTATTTAAATTTTGAAAAAAATTGTTAATTTTTTATATTACAATTATTATAATAGTTTCTTCATTGAATCATTCGTGTCTAAATAATTAATAAAATGAAGAGTTGTTTCTTTCAGTATTTGGGGGTGGATGAACTACATGTTAAAAAATGATTCAATAATTTATTATATTGTAAAAACATATGATATAAAATATATAGGTGCTAGATTTCAGCGTTTATCTTGTAAATAAAATATATAAATAATGAGAATAAAATAACAATTTTTATCTATAAAAAATCTTTTTTTTTTTTTTTTTTAAGTACATAAAATCTTTATCACAAAACATACCAAAAATATTAAATAAAATAAAATAACTTCAAGAAAAAGCATAAAAAATAAATTTTTTTTAATTAATCAAATAATTTTTTTCTAAAAAATTTAATTCGATGCTTTGATTATAACTAATGAATAAATGAATACATGAAATAAATAATAAATAAATAAATAAATAATAACTAACTAACTAGAAGTAAAATCAATAAATCTAAAAGTAAACATCTTGAGTAAATTATTTCGTAGAATTTTAATACCTCATGCCACCAGGATATATAAAAGTAATACTAGTTGATCGTTTTTTTCTTCCCAGCATAATTGGCAGCATCATACCCATGGTAGCGGGCAGCATGCCAGCGCCAACCGCCGCAAATACTGCAGCATTAGACGGACTTCTAGTGATGGCTTGTTTTCTCAAAGGTTTTTTTTTAATTATCGATAATCTTTCGGCTTCAGCAAATTCTTTTTGGCTCTCATCGACAGTCTTAAATGTTTTCTCAACCTCGAGAAGTCCTCCGTGAGACGTTGTGGTATTGGTGCCATTTAATGAAGGCAGGACAGTCAATCTTACCTAAGTTTCATATTAAATTTCACGGTGAAATTTTACAAGAAAATAAATATAAATTATTACATAATTTAATTGGCATTGATTATTATGTCCAGTACAGGCATCATTAATCTTTCGTTAACGATGATTATATGCAATCACTCGTGAATATTATAAATATAAGCGAAGTAGTAGAAATAAATAAGTTAGAAGAAAAAAGTAGTAGTAGAGTATACATATATATATATATATATATATATATATATATATATATAAACATAAATATTTTTCTTTTATTTATATATGTATATAGAAGCGTAGCGTGCTGTTGCAATTTAAATGGTACGACCAACCTGTCGCTTAGATGTCATCACAGGCACCACAGAATCGGTCGGATCGGCTGAATCTTGAGTTGTTTTGCTTATGGTTCCATTTATTGTTTTGATAGCTTCATCTGAGTCAAACTTCATCGATCTTTGGCGAGAGTAGCCACGATTCGTTGACAATAACACCCACTGGCCATCACCGCTTGATGGATACGTCGGAGGATGCCGATTCTCGTATTCATACTGACCCGTAAAGTACGCAGGTTTGTGGGGTCGTGAGAAAGCTGGCTTTTCATTCAATTGCTCGTACTTATTCTGATGGTAATTCGATCCAGGCCAACTGTTCTGGTTTTCTTCATGGGTGTACTGATCCTGGTACCGATCATTGTAAGGCGGAAAACTCGACGGCTTGGGTAGTTGATCATACTTGTCCCAATTACTGGTTGGGAAGTTTGATGGTCTGTTGTCAGTGATTATGTCTCCGGTGTGAGGGTGGTGATTGTTTTCCCATGATGACGACGAGCTTGGACGCTCTGGTGGCCATTTTTGCGCTTGAGTTACACTTGTATCGTAATGGTCGTTTGGGTAAGGTCGGTACACTGGTTTCGACGGCTCGGTTTCGTAGTCGGGCCAATTTGGTTTTGGTTTTTCGTACCTGAATTTTATATTCATTGGTAAGTCATGATGGGTATATTGTTGTAGGGAAAAAATTATGGGGTATTCCACGCAAAGTCGACCACTTTTGACCCCGTTCTTTTTGATTTAATTGAAAATTTTTTATCCTTTCCTATCCCATAAAAAACGTTCTTCAGAACTCAACCAAAAGAAATTTATAAATTAATTTTTAAAAAACAGCCTTTTTTTTTTAAATAACTAAAACTTCTTTAAAATTCAACTTGTTACAACCTTTTTTTCAGAATTTTTGTTTTTAAATTTACTTTTAAAAAAAAAAAATTATTCGAGCTTATCTTCATCGTTATTTTTTATATTTTTGGAAAAATTTTCTTTATGATTACTATTTCTAATTTTTTTTATTTATTGTAATAAACTTTGATATTTTCTAAAAAAACTCAAATTTTTTAATTAAATTAAAATAGTCTATTTTCGATTTATATATTTTTTTAATGAAAAAAAAAACTTTTTTTTAAGTTAGCTTATTTCTCATGGCTAATTTGAGATTAATTATGACACTGAAGTTAGCAGACGCCTAAAAATTTTTGATTATTTTTATTAATTAAATTACAACTAAAAAGATATTTTTAAAAAATTGCACTTATAGCTTTTCAAGTTTTTTACATGTGACAATTTTTTTTTTAATTTTTTAATTGAAATTTTTTCAATAAAAAATTTCTAAAAATTTTGAAATTTCGGCTAACTTCATTTTCATGATTAATTTCGTTTTTTCATTGTTTCTGAATGAAGTAGTCGAAAAAAATATTAATAATTAATACAAGACTGTCTTCTTTTTTTTTTTTTACTTTTTCAAAAAAGATAGAAACAAAAATTCTGATAAAAAAACATCCCAATGTTGAATTTTGAACAATTTTTAGCAATTTAAAAAAGGCAATTTTTTCAAAAATTCATTTTTTTTTGTTAAATAACAAAATTTGAAATAATTCTGAACATTTTTATAAGGTACGAAAAGTCACCTTATATACCTATATTCTAAGTTATTTAGAATTATTCAATCAGAAGAAACATTAGTATTCAATTTTATAAAAATAATTTTAATAAATTTGTCTCACAGTGGTGTGCGGTTGTTTTTTTTTTTTTTTTGGTAACTTGAATAAGTAGGTTATTATTATTGAACAATTAATTATAATTACCATGGTTTGTTATTCCCGTAATGAGGTCGTGAAGATGTGTAATCTGGCGTCCATGGTTTTACACTCGTCGGCTTGTCCCATTTATTAGTATCCTGCCATGGCCGCTGTGAGTTAGTATTAGCTTGCCACTTAGATATTTTGCTTTTCGACCAAGGGATCGCTTCGAGGGTAACCCAACCATTACTATCTCGATCATCGTTCTGATTAGCGTTGTAGAATTTGTTTCTTTCCACCGTATCATTGAAAGGCTATTTTATCACAAAAATAAATTATCACAAAAATCATTACCAAAAATTGAATGAAGAAAATAAAAAAAGTATTTTTTTATTTTCATAAATACCTGTACTTTATCAAGAGCGAGAGTAGTTCCGTGAACAGTGACCGAATCTTCAGTAGAAGTTGAAACTTCGGAACTGTCATCAGCAATTTCAAGAGAAGCCTCGGTCATTTTAGTGGAGTGATGTTGCAGCCCGTAATTGTCATCAGTAGTACTTTTTATTTTACTGGCATATTCGTCTAGAAACTTGTTGAGCACGTCCGGATCGAAGGTAGAAGTCTCAAGAAACGAGTTTCGCCGATCGTGATTCGCTTTCAGCGTTTCTCGGATCATTGACTCATCATCCTGAAAAATAGCTCGTGGCTTTTCTTCCTTCCCCTTCCTGGCTAGTCCGAAATAGTTTGTATCCGAGGTATTTCTTCTTTCCGAAAACTGGTTGTCATTTCGCTTGAAAAGATAACGCGTATCTGCACGTAATTCCTGAAAAACCAGGAATACTAACAGCAGGATAACGTTCAAGTCTTTGAATGACATTTGAGTGTTAAAAATAAAAATTATTGATTAAAACTTCTGATCACAAATCACTGACCGGTAACTTGAGTTTGCGCTCGTATTTCGGTGTACCAGAGACCGTAAACGGACACGCGTGTTACATAAACAATAACAACAACAATAACAGTTCCATGCAGCAATGACCTCCACTGTTGAAGGTCTGAGATGGCTCTGGGTCTCGGTCTATGTCCCCGTTTGCTTTTAATCCAGATCCCCACTTTCTTGTTATGTACGAGTGGTCCATTTTCTGTCTCGCTTTCTCATACCTAGCGATTGTCTCTCCGCAAAATCTAACTTTTAAAGAACTCCAAGTAAAGTGTTTTAACAACAACACTAACAGTTACTAAAAACTCACTCTCTTGTCACTTAATTATTATCTTCATTTAATATCACGGCATTCTTTTTACTTCTCTATTTTTTATTATACTACACTTTTTTAATAGCCAATAAATTTTATTGCAGGACATTTTATTGCAGATCTTTATCAGTGATATAATTACCTTTAAAAAATCCACATTTTTAACGCTTCAATTTAATGTGACACACAAAAATATAGTAGAGAATCGTCATCGTCACGGTCTAATTACTTCAATGCCAACTAGATATTGTAAAGATCTCTTGTTTGACTATGAAGATCGAGATATTTATTTGTGAAAAGTCTTTATAGTACTTGAGAAGAATACTGTATTTAAAAAATTTTTTTCCCATCGATCATCGTGTTTGCTTCGCCACCCACTTGGTGAGTATAAGACTGTAGAAGACGCTCTAGCTTTGTATGTAATTTTTGATTTTTTTTTTTTTACAGATCCTACTTTCACCTTTCAATTTAATCGCTTGATTAAAACTGGTTTGACAGAGAACTTGCTTGAGAGTAAATGAAGATATTCCAATTTTTATATTTTATTTTTTAACAAAAATTTGAGGAAGGTCAAGATTTTGAAAATACATCAAATTAATTAAATTACAGCTAAAATGATATTTCTAAAAAATTGCACTTATAGTTTTTAAAGTTTTTTACATGTGACAATTTTTTTTTTTAATTGTTTAATTGAAATTTTTTCAATAAAAAATTTCTAAAAATTTTGAAATATCGGCTAAATTTATTTTCATAAATATCAAACTATTATATTCTTTATTACTGTTCAATTAAAAGAATTTTTTTTTATAATAGCAATATTTTTCAAGATCAAATCGACAAAAATAATCTCTTGGATTTTACTCGAAGTAAAATAAAAGTTATTGTGATAACTGATAATAAAGGAAGAAGTAAAAAAATTGGCAAGAGGATCTGTAATGAAACTATTATTTTTTAATAACTCGACTTTCTCGTATATAAATTCATTTTCTCTCTCGAATGCACTAGTGAGTAGCAATTTCCCTGGCAACTATAATAGTTGAGATATGATATTAATAATTCCATGTGCATGTATATAGCAGAGTAATATAATATTATCTCTATGACAATTTAAAGAGAATAAAATCCAAGTTTATTTTTTTCATTATTTTATTTTTCTTTATGCATTTGAACAAGTAGGGCAAATTTATGATGGAGAGAAAGAAGAAAAAGTGAAATCTTATTCATAGAATCTTACAATTTATACTATCTCGTCGTCAACTAAAGCATTTAAACTTTGGGCACGCACTTTGAACTCGCTTTTTGTACAAAACGTGCGTATCTAATATTAATTTTATTCACATCCGGGAAAGTTTTTTTTTTTTTTTTTTTTTTGAGTAATTACAGATAATCGTTATTAAATAATTGTTTTTATTTATTTTTTAGATATAATTTTTCTCATTTTTTTATACCAGCATCTCTAGATTTTTTAACATTATTTTTTCTTTATCTGCACCAATTTTTTATATAAATTCGAAAGTTTCTCAAAAAAAAAAAAAAAAAAAAAAGAGTTTTATCAAAATAAAGCGCAGTTGAAATAAAAAAAACTACAAGACTAAATTTTAAATAAATTAACCGACTTTTATTTATTGAGTTTTTATCGTCGCAATAACAATCATCGTCTATTTTTATCCAACAATAAAAAATTGTAATTTTAAAAATAAATCTTAAGTATAAATCATGATTCACGACTTTTCTTTTCCCATAATAATAATAATTTAAGTGTTTGGCCGAGAAACCTCGACAAAGTCATCGCGATGATCTTTCGATTCTTTACCACCTTCAATTTTTCTTTCTTCAATAATTTCCGATAAAAAACGAATGATTAATCCGAAAAAAACTTAATATATTTTTTCCTCGAATAATTACTAGCAGTAAAAATAAATATTGATAGTGTTTTGGCCATAAAAATTAAATATTGACCAAAGAAAATTAAAGTAGTTTTAAATGTAGCTGATATTTGTACAATAATCTAAAAATTATCAAGTAAATCATTAAATCTCAGAGCAATAATTGTTTGTTGTTGTTAAATGTACTGTTTGGCCTACTCGAACCTAGGAATCAGGTCATATTGCTGTGATTATAGCAAAAAACACCTCTGTGGTGCGAATGCTACTTTCATTCATTGTCGGGCAATCCACTTACTTCGATGCTGCGATTGCAATAAGAAAAGGATCTTTATTAACGTAAGCCAAATGGCTATGCCTCTTCTCTTCTCTTCTCGAGTCTGCCGATCGTTATCGATTAAATGTTGATAAAAAAAATCCACCCATCTCTAACAAATGACTAAAAGTATCGAAACAAAGAGCGCATTTTTAAATTATTTAAACTGATAATAACAATAACAAAAAACTTTCTAGCGAAATTTAGTAGAGTTGACCTGGTTCCAAGTGTTTGATGACCACTTGTCCCGTTTCCTATCCAACGAAAATCATTTCCTTAACACTCAATTTTAAAAAGTAGCTAATTTTTTGTTTTTGTTGTTGTTGTTTTCTTAATTTTCTTGTCATTTTTTCTTTTAGAGATATATATGTTAAGATATACTGCGTGATACAAAAGGTATATTGTCAACTACTGGAACTAAATGTCTTTAACGGAAGACTGATGACTGCTGGCCACATGTAATGCTTGTAAACGTAAATTTACTATTTTTCCAACTAGAGAACTGGAGGACGACGATTAAGAGACATTATGTGTCTTCACGCTTTTTAGAAACCACTACTTCATGAAGAATAAAGATGCGCGAGGACACAAGGCACAGTTTAGTTTATAAGTTCATCTAATGACAGCAGGACGGTCTTTTTTTTTTTAATAACTCAATTTTACACGTGCATTTTACATCATATTTATGAAAATTATCATTATTACTAATTAAAATAAATTCGCGGCTTTAAAAGAAGACTAATGTTTTGTTAATTTTAAACATAAGTATGAATTGCTTACAAGTTATGCTACTTTTAGTGTTTTTCAACGGACTTGAATGCATCGAAAATCTTCACCCAGTGTCAAATCGGTCTCAAGTGTCTGAACCTTTTCTTCCCGGATTGAATTTAACTGATGTTGCAAATAACAGTGTATCTTCAAAAAAAGTTTTTAAATCATCGGTAGCTGAAAAGGACAGTGATTTTCGACCCAGTGAGCATTTGGGTGCAATAGAACCTGAAGAAGTGCCAACGAGTACAATTGGAAACAGAATAAAATTTCCATTAGCAACTGCCAGCTCTTTATCATCAAACTCTGGGATTTCTCGTAGAAAAATAGTTCCCTACGAGAGTCCGGTGAAAGCTGAAACCGTGGTGTCTCTCCAACCGCCGGCAAAGCAGCGGATCAAATTTATTTACGATTACCAGAGAAAGCAGAATGACCAACAGCCGCAACCGGACAGCGCTGGTGTTCCTATAGCTTCTGAAGCTTCTGAAGATGATGATAACTCGTACCATGAAATTCAAGGTGAAGGCTACGTGGTTGTACATCCTCCAGCGCCGATGGAAGATGTCAATTTGAGTCAGCCCAATCAGGAAATTTCTTCCGAAGATAAACCTGACAAAAATCAGCAGGAGAATCAAGAACCTCAGTATGTTGTAAATCACAGTCCTGATCAAGAAGTTAACAATCACCAGTTAGAGCAAGAGACGACCAGGAGTCCAGAAATTTCTTACCATCAATCTTATGGAGACAGTGATGAAAGACACCCGAATTGGAATAATAATCATCACAGTCACTATCACTACAGTCTGCCAGAGGTGAATTATCCGAAACAAACTCAACACGCTGTAGCGGATCCACCGTATCACTATCAGTATCAGTACGTTGTTCCTGAAAGTACTGGGTTAGAAAAGCCGGAAATGAATCCTTACTATCATCAGTACTATCTGCAAAATCCTGGACATATGCATCAGGAAGTCGTAATTGATAAGCCGGAGGCTGTTGTTTACTTGAGTTCACACCGTGAGACCTCATTTACCCGGACTCGAAAGTTTCCTTATAAATATTACCACCCCCAGGAGCAGGCTACAGAAGTACATTATCCCAATCACGGATACGGATATGCCATAGCTCCACAACAGAAACAGTAATAGTATTTTTTTTTAACTGTATTTTAAAATTTATGATGACGATTAATGTATGTTATGTTGATATAATACAACACGCGTTTGATATATACTTATAGAATTTCACCTTGGAACAAGATTATTCATCTGATCGGTGCCTTTTTACCTCTTGGGCTTCTTATTGCTGCACTTAAACCACCCAATGTCGTTAAGATTGATGGCAATACTTCGTAAGATGGATAAAAAATTACTTAAAACCTTTTTTTTTTTCTTAATATATTTATATTTATGTTTATATTTATGAGTACATATTTTATTTATTATAATTATTATTATACATGGTTAAAATCACAGCAATAATTTTATTTTTATCAGGCAGCCAAATATTGTATTATCGAAATTGAGGGCCATTCATCTTCCACTTGAGCATAAAACATCGCTAGAAAGTTTCGATGAAGAAGAGGATTACAAAGAAAATAATAATAAATTTGCCGATTATGATTACAATAAAACATGCGAGGATAAATCAATATGCGAAATTATATTACGTGGAGCTGATAAAAGTACTGATTTACTCAGTAGTCTTCTTTGGAATTTAACAATCAAGTATTGTATTTTTTATTTTCATACACAGAAAAAAAAATTTTCTTTTATCAAGTATATAATTTTGAAGAATTTAATCTTCTTGATTTGAGTAGAAAAATTCTTGAACTAATAAATTTTTTTTGATTTAAGGAAATTTTACTTGATTCAAGAATTTTGGCTGCCCAATTTCAAAACACAATGTAACTAACATTTAAAAATTTTTTTTCAATTTTTCTTATTAAAAAAAAGTTTGCCCGCCAAATTGATGACAAATTTGATTTATGAACAGAAAATACTTAAATATAAATATTTTTGAGAAAAATTCTTGAAATTAAGGTCTAAAAATTTTAAAAAATGCAGCAATATTAGAGAAAAATCAGGTATAAAAATTTTGCAGTTACTGTGTTTTAAAATTGGGTAGCCGATTTTTCGTCTTGATTTAAGACCATTGCCCTCTTCAAAATTATTTTCTTGGTTCAAGAATTTTTTTCTCGAGTCAAGTTAATTTTTTTATCAGTGTAAATAATAATTCTTATTTGTTTTTAATTTATTTAGAAATCTAAGTAGATTAATCTTAATTTTTTTTTTAACATATTTGGCTAATGGGAAGAAGTAAAATATACATATAAAATTATTACTTTGTAGCTCGATAAAAATTTCTTGCAAATTATTGGTATTCAATAATTGTAGATATGGATACATATGCATATCTACCGAGAGTTTCAATTAAATTTTATTTGTTTTTTTTTTCAGGTCAACTGAAGAAGCAAAAAGTAATGAGTTGGAAGAAATAGTTGCCGCAGTAAAAAAAAAAGATTGTAGTTTTATAAAATGCTAAAAAAGGAAGCAAACAAATGAAGAAAAAAAAAAAAGTTGTCGATAGAATTTTTATTGACTTAATTTCTAGGAGTGTCACCAAATGTGGAATTTCGTAAATTGCTTTTCTAAATTACTGTAAAAACAAACATTATATGATTGTACTAGTAAGTTTGTCTGTGAAAGTACAAGTCTTATGGTATGAAATAGTAGTTAAGAAAAAAAAAAAAGAAGTTAGATAAAGTTAAACTAAAAGTGTTAAATAGGAAAAACCCTTTTATGTCTCATTCATTTCTCTTTTATCATACTTACTCTTTCTTTCTCATACTTTTATCTCTGTTTTATCTTAGTTATTTTTTAATCTTATTTTTTTCTGTTGGCTCGAGCGCCAGTGAAAGTAGTTGCAAGTGGGTCAGACTTGTGTGCCAGTGTGGCCTGAGAATTCGTTCTCACTTATCCGCATCGCAAGACGAGCTCGATTATCCCATCTCGCTGGTGTATTAGTGTATTTAACTATATATGTGTATAAATACACTTGTGACCTCTCAAGATGAGACCGGAAGTTTAGGTCAAATACTAATTATTTCTCACCTTACTCTCTGATAATCGATTTCATTAATCCATTAACTTAAGTAATTATTTGTTACACACATAGTCTATAATTTTTTAAATCCTAATTATCAATAATTATTTTATCAAACTGCTACTTCTATTTTTTTTTAATATCATACTTTTACGAATACATAAATATTTTAAATAATTGTAATTACTGTTTTCAGTTTTTAAAATTCGATTCTATTGTATGAATTAATATGATTAATCATATGTTAGAAAGTCAAGATGACTGGAAACACGAGCGATTTAAGTCCCACTTAAATGAAAAATTCCAAAGTATCTGACTACGGAACCGGTCCACGCGATTAGTCGGCAGTAGAAAATTCCCAGACGAGTTTTCATCTCTGTTTTCACCAATGTTTACATATCATCAATAATTTTTTTTTTCTTTTTAATTTTATTTCAAAAGAATTTAATGTATAATATTAAATACTAATATTTTGATCTCCTAAGTATACGATCGTAAATATTTTTTATTGCTGGTTTAGGCCACACGAATGCTTTTCACCTAATACGTCATAAGCTGATTCAGATATTCTCAGCATCTTTTCTATAAAAAAAACATATTTATTTTTATGATATTTCTCTCATAGTATTTTAGATTTAATGGTAATAAAATATCAGTTATATGCATTGAAAAGAATCCCGGTATTTCTTGAGAAAATTTTCTTGTCATAAGAATTGATCGAATTATTCACTGATAGAAGGATTTCTTAATATTTAAAAAGATTTCTTTATAGGGGAGGGGGGGGGGCAAAATGGGGTACTTAAGCAATCGTTATGATTTTAAGGACTTAAATACGCTGATTTTTCTCGTTTTCGGTCGTAATTAAAGGAAAATAATCAAATTTCAAGTTGCCGTAGAAAAAAAAATTTTTTTTTTTGCGGGCAAAACGGGGTACTCCCTGAAAGAGTGAAAAAAAAATTTCTTCATCCGAAAATGAAATATCGTTAAAAAAATAACATTTTCTTATCGATAAGTCTACGAAAGAACCCAAAGAGAGGAATAAATCACCCAAAAAAGAGACATTGTTAGTTGAAGCAATATATTCCTAACAAAAATTGAGGTAGTAAAAAAAATTTTAAAATTTTGTCGTAATTTTTGACGGGTTTCGCTTAACTAAAAATAATATCAAGATAAAAAAAAAAGAGTTCTCTTGAGAAAAAATTCCCGGTTTTTGGAACTCCCAGTGGAAAAATTTTTAAACTCATAGTTCTCACGCAATTCAAAGTAACAGCACGAAAAAAAAGATTCGTAATTTTTTTTCCACTCTTTTTCTTGGTTTAGAGATTCAGGAAAATTTTTTCAAGTTGAATAATCTTATAGGCCTGAAGATTTTACTTTTTAAATTAAATACCTCACAAGCGCACCAAATGATTTTGAAGCAATTAGCGGCCTCTGCCTCAGTTTTCTGAGCATTCAGTTAAATTATGTCATCAAAAATAATTCAAGAATAAATTTGATGTTATTTGAAAAAGACACTTTTTTAAAATAATTAGTATACGATTTCTCTTCAACACATCGCCCGATTTTGATGCAGTTTGCAGCTGTCAACGTCGTTTTTTAAATTAAAGAACTGTTCAGATTTTGGAATTGATTGTTACATCTGTTTAAAAGCTGTTAAAAGAAAAAAGTTATTTTAAATTTATGAGGAAGTCTAAGTTTCGCTAAACCTTAT